ACAGCCTCCACACATAAGAGCCGGTGTCCTTAATAAGGTTTTTTAAACTCACCGCCGCTCCAAGACATTACTAGTCGCTCTCACGGCACGATGGTAAGTGAAAATAACTCGTTATCATCCCGAGCTACACGATCCTCACTCAAGCGGTGTCAACTCGCACTCGTGGGATGAAACAGCCTCCATCCAACGGCGCTGCGTTGATGTTGGCGCACACACACAGCTGCCCGGCGCTAACCGGCTCACATCGGTATAAATGTGGTCCGCAGGCTGGTTCGAATGGAGGTCCTTCACTCTCACAAGAAGCGACACTCGTCTCAACGAATCAAACGCGGGCAGCCGTCACCCACCGCGTCTCAGCGTTCGGCAGCTTACGGCAGCATAAGTGTGAGGCAGCTGAACGAACCCGGTGATGAGCCCCACCTCCCTCCAGCGCGCGCCCCTCCAGCGAGAGCGGCGCGCGTCCCTCCAGAGAAAACGTGTGCTCTCGCGGGGCTAGCAGCCTTCACTCCAACAGCACGGCGTAAATGAAGTCACGCCCTCCGCCTCTCAATGTTCGCACAGCGACGCCAAACGCGCAGCCCCACCGCGTCATCAGCTGTCACACGCTTCGCCTCAGCACAAGCTTCGCCTGGGGTCGCGCAGAAAACATTCCCGCGACGCATGACGGCGGTTGAGGGGCGGACTGCTGACAGCCGTACAAAACGTGACACATCACTTAAACGCACGTTCACGTCCATGGCTAAACATGCTCACCGTTTTTCAGATGGATGGACAGGGTGTTATGCAATGGTTATAAGTTACAGTTTGCAACCCGAACCCCTCCATTCAGAGGAGTTAGAAACGGTCCTGTCATCATCAGACTAAATCTCATCCCTAAATGCAGAAGTCCAAGTGTTTCTGATAAAAAGTAATCTACAGAGTCCCCCAACGGAGAGAAAACACAGAGTTTTATTCACGGATCGGAGGGATGAGACCGTTTTTTTGGATCTGTTGTACAACATCCAAAGAACGCATACCGATTATCCCAAAACACAGAGGCGAGAGATTTTTTGTTTTACCTGGATGATCTGCTGCTCCTGTCACTCCAGACAGGAGGCGCTGATGCAGGATCAGGTGTTGACATCACACCTGTTAAATCTGGGCTTCACCATAAATTGGAAGGAAGCTTGATTTTCCCGGCCCAGACAATTGTTTATCTGGGAGTGCAATTAATTCAACCACCATGAAGGCTCGTTTATCACAAACAAAATTCGACACTTTTAAAAGTCAACTCCGCCACGTAAGACCTGGCAAGTGATAACAGCTGTCTCCGTCATGAAGCTGTTGGGAATAATGTCATCAGCTCACACAGTGGTTCCGCTGGGTTTTGTTACACATGAGACGCCTCCAGAGGTGGTTTGCGCGTCTGCGTGTGGATCCAGTAAAACAAAAAAACGACGAATGATCATTGTCCCTCCCTCTGTGAGAGCAGGCCTCCGACTCTGGGAAACACTCTTGTTCTGTCAGAGGGAGTTCCCGTCAGCAGTCCCACGTCACACGTGTCAGTCTTCACGGACGCGTCGCTGTCAGGCTGGGGGGGGGGGACATGCCTATGCCAAGCAGTAGGGGCGCTGTGGCCCCACCACACATCAGCCCACATCAATGTTTTTGGAGTGTCTCACAGTGCTGAATGTGATTCAACACTTTGCTCCCGTGCTACAGAATCAACACGTGTTGATTCACACAGACAACATGGTGACCGCTGCGTACATTAACCGCCAGGGGGGCGTGCGTTCAGCCCAGATGTTACACATTGCGCGAAGCTACTGTGTTGGGCTCACCGAAACCTGCTCTCCATCAGAGCAGGTTTACATATCCGGTGTTCTGAACAGAGGGGCAGATGTGATGTCCAGGGGCGGCCCACATCACTCGGACTGGACCCTCCATCCAGACCTGATGTTTCAGATGTGGCAGGAGTTTGGCAAAGCAGCTGTGGACCTGTTTGCGACACGAGAAAACGCTCAGTGTCAACTATGGTTTTCCCTGAGCCCGCGAGACGATCCACCGCTGGGGGTGGATGCATTTGCTCACAGCCCGTGGCCCAAAACGCTTCTGTACGCATTTTCCCCCACCTCCTCTGTTTTTACGGTTCCTGAACCGAGTTCAGGAGGAGGGATTGACAGCTCTCCTGGTAGCTCCCGAGCTCGTGAACGCGCCATGGTTCCCAGTCCTGCAACGTCGGTTGTCGGGTCTTCCGTGGAAACTGCCGTAGAGGGAGGATGCTCTCCTTCAAGCAGGAGGAGCGATCAGGAGTTAACCAGAAATAGGTCAGTACCTGTGGGTCTGGCCACTGAGCGGTCCCGCTCAGAGAGGAGGGGTCTCCCTCAGGAGATAGTGTGCACAATTCAAGATTCACGTGCTGCATCTACCACAGCTCTATACACATCAAAGTGGACGGCCTTTCAGCGCTGGTGTACAGAGAAAGGTTTAGAGGCCACCTCATGCCCATTAGGCGGCGTGTTGTCTTTCTACAACAGCTGATGGATAGGAAGTTGGCATTCAGTACGTTTAAAACGTACGTTGCAGTCATCTCTTCCTGCCACAAAGGGTTCGGAGACAGAACAGCTTTTAATCACCCGCTGATGAAGCGTTTTTTTCTAAAAGGTGTTCAGAGACGCAGGCCTGCTTCACGTCCACTTGTTCCACAGTGGGATTTAACGCTGGTCCTGCGAGCCCTGATCAAAGCTCCATTTGAGCTTCTGGATCAGGTTTTTCCACTTAAACTCTTGTCTCTTAAAACAGCCCTGCTGCTGGTTTTAACATCCGCTAAGAGGGTAAGTAATTATCTGCCCCCTCTGTTGCTCCGTCATGCCTTAGAATTCAGGCTGACGGGCAGCTCAGCTGATTTAAGACCAACCCAGCTTTTATGCCTAAAACATCACAAGCTCTTTTTTAAATCAAGAGTGATATCGTTGGAGGGGTTTCTCCACCCCCCCCACCCCCCCCCAGATCAGAAGAAGAAGCATCTTTTCATCTTCTCTGTCCGGTGCGGGCGTTGACGTGTTACATAGCGCGCACAGCTGCAATGTGTCAAACTCAACAATTGTTTGTGCATTATAGAGATGCATCTGCAGGTCGCCCGTTATCCACCCAGCGCTTGTCACACTGGCTGTGTGAGGCCATTTCTGAAGCCTACAGAGCATCAGATTTAGAGCCTCCTGTCAACCTCAAGCACACTCCACCAGGGGTATCGCATCTTCGACTGCTCTGCATAATGGTATGTCAATGCGGGACATTTGCACTGCGGCTGCATGGTCAACACCCTGCTCATTTATTCGCTTTTACCTACGTGATGTGACGGCTCGTTCCATGACACATTCTGTCCTTAGTGCTCTAACAGAATGAATATTGTTGTTCTCATGGAACTCTGTTTAAGCTCACTTCTGTCTGCATGCATTACAGTGTGAGATGTGGTTATCAGTCACAAGTTGTGTCTGTGATTTTGGTTCTATTGTCACTAATCAGTTTATGACTATTGTGACCAATCAGTTCACTTGATCAATAATCAGTTCATTGATATTAATCTGTTTATACTGCTCAGCCATGAACCAGTTGGTTCATGCCCCCCCCCCCCCCTATTTTCAACATCTTCTCCCCGTTGAAAGTTTTTTCCGGGGCATTCATGCTTTGTCAGAACGCATAGTTACACAACATGCGTCTGTGCATGGCACATAATTACGCGATGCGTAGTTATGCACACGGGGAGCTGAGTGACAAGACGTTTTTTGGACAAGCTTCCGCTTCTTACTGTGTTCGAATGGACCCAGTGAGGCGAGGACCACATCCGCTTCGCCCTTAACCCATCAGCGACAGCCTTAAAGGGCGAAGCCTATATGACATAGAACGTTGGTTACGTACTGTAACCCCAGATTCTATGAATATAGGCGTAGCCCTTTAAGCGTCGGGCCTCACTGGCTCCTAAATGGCTGAAGAAAAAAGCTATTTTGGGAGCCGATTTCCCGCTCTTAACGTAATTTATACGGACCGGGTGGGGCCCACACAGCAGGTGGGCGTGGACTAAATTTTTTCAGTGCTTATGCTCTGCATAACGGGATAAACCCATCAGCGACAGCCTTAAAGGGCTACGCCTATATTCATAGAATCTGGGGTTACAGTACGTAACCAACGTTTTTTGCGGTTTCATTTATTTATTTATTTTTGTATCTTTAGACCCCATGATGTCATCAAGTACTCGAGTTCTACTCGAGTTTTATTATGTTAATGTCGAGTTTAAAAATTATGTAGTCGTTCATCCCCTAGTTCCTGGTGCCCTCTGACAGAAGATTTGAGTTCCAGGCTCTTGGGAAAGTGCTACTCTGTCTGAATCAGAGGTTGAATCTCTGGTGGTTCCTGTAGTCTACTCTCTTCCTTGATGTTTTCTCAAACTCTCTAACTAGTTTGAGGCAGTCCTGGCCAAAGTGGTTCAAAATATCCTGATTCCTACTCAATAATCCAGGTAGAATAATCTAATAAAGTTACCGGTAAGTCAGGTCCTCTGGATGGATAAAAAAAAAAACTTGTTGAAACATTTTGTCTTTAATCCAAGAAGGTGGAATGAGAAGGTGCTATTTATAAGACTGAGCTTTTTACAGCTCCTCAGACTGATGAAGTCTTTTGGATTAAAGTCGAAACGTTTCAAGTTTTTTTTTTTTTTTTTTTTTTTTATCCGTCCAGAGGACCTGACTTAACTTGTTAGATTTTTCTGCCTGGATTATTGAGCATGCATCAGGATATCATTTTGACTTGGTCATTTTAAAAGTAGCTTGCATGATGAAAAAGTCTGGGCACCTCTGCTGTAATGGTTCATGAGATATATTGCCAACAGTTAATCATGCAAATTTAAAAGCATCTTTAATCAGTAATTTTATGAAAATGTTTTACTTGGTACAAAATAGACTTAACTGTAATTTATGAGTTTAGATAATTTAAAATGTTTTTGTGTTTGGTGTGTGTCTCCTAAGGGATCAGCACTTGTACAACACTGAGCCCTTGTATCTGCTTGAAGAAAAGACTTTTGTCACAGAGACTCAAGTGATCCGGGAGACACTGTGGTAAGATGGAACAATTTGGCACTGTGAGGAAAAGAACCCCGTCTTCTACTTCAGTAACACGTGCTTTATTGTTTTGTGAACTTTCAGACGTGACTGCTGAGACCACGTTTATTGTCTGGCTCTTGTTTTTCCTTTTCAGGCTTTTCTCTGGTGTCAAGAAACACTTTATTTTCCAGCAACATGACGGAAAAGTGTCAGTAAGGAATGATGTAGTGGTGACTCATCTGACGAGTGTAAGTTTAAAAAAAGAAGAAGCTGGAAGTTATTAGATATATTCTGTTGGAAGGAGGAATCGGACTTCTCTTCTTTTGTGCTGCAGAACTGTCTGTACTCCCTGCTGGAGCACATCGCTGTGTACGGTCAGGCCGTGTCCAGGCTTCAGAGGTTCATCGACGAGGTGACTGGGTACAGCTCCGAGCTGTGTCCACCAGGCTCTGGCTCCTCCCACAGCTCCAGGAAGGGCTCTGAGCCTTCCTTCAGGACCTACCAGGCTTTTGTTTGGGCTCTCAACAAATATTTTACCAGCTTTAAAGAAGAACTGACTACAATAGAGAGAGAGCTAATAAGCAATGGCAAGTCTTCTTCTAAGTTACCGGTAATTAAGCTCGGACTAAATTTGGAGGCCAGTTTACTTTTTCCTGGGGTTCAGTAGCAACACACAGCTTTATTATTACTTACTTGTGAAAGTATTTAGTCTCTCTAATGTTCAGTAGAGAGGGGAATAACTGTTCATAGTGCTAGGATAATTTAATTATCCCTTTTGCTGATTAAATAAATAACTTAAGCCACACAGGAAGGAGTAGATATTTTTCTTAACCCCAGGATTTAATCTTGCGAGAAGGAGCAGCGTTGAAATAACAAGCATCAAGGTGTTTACATGTTTACAAGTCTGCTCTCAGAGAGCATAAACAAGTGTCTTTTTATAATGTTATCAGAGGGGCTGCCTTCCAGCTCAGGGCTTGAGTTTATCAGGCAAAAGGCTCCACGCTTCAGCAGCACTCTGTCCAGACAAAACAACTCTTCACACACATGCTTCATATACATTTGACAATAAGTGAAAAACATCTGTGACCTTTCACATCTTCCATCATTTTCCCCCCGTTTACAGTTTTTTTTAAATCACTTATCAATAACTCTCTTGCAAGTTAGGATGCGTTATGCATGCGGTGGAAACCCCGCCCAAGGCAAACAGTCCAGTCAGGTGGGACAGCACCAGCATCACCTCACGCCCCTATGACAATGGCCTTAACAGCGCATTCTGCATCCTCCTGGGTGTCAGTTCAAAAGAAATCAAAAGAACAAAAACAAAACACAGAACCTCTCTCTTTCTCTCTGTGAGTTCTTCTGAGTAAAATCATAACAACAAAAGTAAGACAGAATGGCATTATTCACCGTCCTTCGACAACATTTCACTTATTCCCTGTTTATGAGGTTAGAAAACTGTGGCATTTATTTTTAATGGCAAAGCATAATTTTAGAGGCTCCATCTTTCTTCTGATCCCTTTGATGTCAACAGATTCTGCAAGAACATTTCCTTCACAGCCCTTGTTCAGCCGGTGATGGTATGATGTTTATGGCATTTATTCATCCAACCTTTATTTAAACAGATAAATCACATTGAGCCTCAAAGCCTCATTTACAAGTGAGACCTGTTTAGACAGACAAAAACAGTGGTTAACTGGACACATGTAGGAGTTGGAGGCGAAAAAAAAAATCCTATCAGACTTTTTTTTTCCTGCCTGAGGAAAAAAACACCTCTAATATTAAAAAAACACCTCGCACAAACAAGCACATATTTACTTAGACATTCTGCAGACGGGGGAGATGAGAGCGGTCAACAATGTTCATAGATGCTCTCGAGGTCACTGTAAGAGTTCTGATAAGGATGTAATAATCAGTCCATGTCCTCCGGTGAGATCCATAAACATTCTCGAGGTATGTCGAGGAATGGTCAAGAATAACGTCTATGAGAATCCAAGAGTCCTGAAATGATGACACAGAGTTTATTCAGCTGGTTTCATCTGGTTATCAGTTGGAAATTCCTCAGGGAGGGGGTGGTGAGCATCAGATCACATGTTCTCCAGGTGAATTCAGATAAGATGGCCTTCAAGGCCAGCCAAGGGAGCCAAATTCAGATAAACACAGTTGTTTTGGGGACAAGCAGAATTTAATGACATCAACCTTGAGTCTGTGTTGGTCCACTCGGTTCCGAAATGTCCAAATTACATGGCCACACCGAAGGAACGTGACTGAGTAAAATCCCCAAGATCTGATCCATTCTGCCCAAAGCATTTGAGTCTGGGTACTCGAGGCACGAACCAAGCTATCATAAAGGCAAGCAGCGTGATCGGGTCCAAATTTGCTGCTGACGACTTCCTTGATTGTAGATAAAACCAGCAACCAGCCGAATCCAAAAAGCAGGAACCAGTTATCGAAAATCCAGTTAAATATGCGTCCTTAAAATCCACAGATGGCAGCAGAGATAGACACATCATCATGTCTTCCAAGTCGATGAGATATCCAGCTGCGTGCGTGCCAACAGGGCAAATCGGCTCACCTAAAGCCTGTCTTCTCTTCAAAGAAACGTTGTAAATTGAGTTGAGGGACCAACTGGTCAAAACGGTCCATAATTATGGTTTGGAAGATGCAAGAGAGGCTCAGAAGCAGTTTCACAGACAGAGCAGCAAAGTAAAGCGGAGAGGGAGGGAGAGAAGCATCCGATCTCGGCGAGAGCAAGTGGTGAAGTGATTTAGATCAGAGATGCCTCGCAGGTGGTATTTGTAAAGACAGCTTCCCGTTTTCAGTTCAACCCATGTTTTCACCAAGTCCAGTCCAAAAGGTTAATTTTAATGTCCCCCAATTATTTTTTCTTTTCTTTCGGCTGCTCCCTTCATCAGGGGTCACCACAGCAAATCGAGTTGCACGAAGACTTGGCAATGATTTTTTACTTTAGATGCCCTTCCAGACACAAGCACAGCCCTCTGTGTGGAGCAGAGAGCTGCTATCTACGGCGCCCGCTCAAGGGCCCAGAGTGGGGCAAATGAGGGTGGAGACAGGTGTGGGTGTTTCACTAATCCCACCCACATTTTGATGTTGCCGGTAGCGGGAGTTGATCCATCGATCTTCCGATCACAGACCCACCTTCTCTAACCTCTGCGTCACCACTCCCTCCAGTTTTAATGTCCAAAAAATGTCTCTGACAAACATACCCATCTCCTCCTACAAGTCTGTTTCAAACAAAAATGTCACTCGCTTTAGTTAATGTTTATTCATTATTTATCCAGCCGTCTTTTGTAGTATTTTATTGTAGGTGTGCCTTTTAATCTTTCTCCAGAAATTAAGTTATTTAAGGTCCTGTTCAGGACTCTTGTAATATGAAACCTTTGAACTATTATCATTTCTCAAGTTCTGTCTGAGAATTAGGAGTCTTAAATATTATTTTAACCTCTAACTTCAATTAATATTTCATCCTCTAGAAAATCCATTCAACTTTCACAAATGAGCTTATTTATTTGAGCTTAATTTATTCAGCTTCTGCTATTTAGAACTGTTCTTGTAAAAAAAAGTTAGTCTTGACTTGTTAAAGTTTCAGTGTCTCATGTGAGAATGTTCAGTTTATTGAACAGCTGGTTTATTCTTTTAATTTCAGCAAATTTTCTGCTCTCTTGTAGCTTGTCTCTAACCATTTGAACTTCTGAAATATTTTTCTATTCCCACTCAAGTTGAACTTTTAAGGCATTTCTTCTATTATTTTATTTTTCCCCAAGCATCCATATATGCATAACCCTCTAATTGGCATCTTGCGTCTTCCATAAACTTCTAGTTTTTCCTTTATTTATTTTGTGCTATTTCAACAAACTATATGTCAAAACGTTCAGCTCTTTAAGGAAAAGATTCTATGAATCTTGGCACTTGCAACTTCCGCTTTCTAGGAATGTTTTAACCTTTTTTGTCATTTTGTTCACCAAAAGAAATTAATTTGGCTCATTTATTCAGCTCCTATCAGTTTATTTCTGTAATTTTCAGCTTTCTCTGCTATTTCAGCTACTATTTAGCTGCTTTTATGCTAATTTGAGCTTTTTCCAGTTTATTTCACATTTATTCTGCACTCATTTCAACCTTTTGTTTCAGGTAATTTCAGCAAAAATGTGTTCTCTTGGTAAATGGTGAATGGACTGCACTCTTGTTGGCCCTTTTTATCTTATCAGATACTCTAAGCTCTTATAATACAGTTCGGCCCTCATTCACCTATCCATACAACATTCTACTTTATAATCAGAGCTTTATCACATTCAGACACTGATGGGACACACATCGGAGGCTATGAGGGGTTCAGTGTCTTGCCCAGGGACACTTCAGCATGTGACTGCTGGTGGAATCGAACCCCCAACTTTTGCTTTGGAGGATGATTGAACCACTTAGCCTCAGCCGCCCCTTCACTTGCTTTTCATGGATTCAAACTTGTCGTTTTATTTTTATGATAGCATTTCTTTATTTTTGATTCTAAATTGGTTCTCTCCTCTAATTGAAAGCTTACTGTTAGCTTTTAGCTAGTAATTTATATATTTATATATAAAAATTATCTAATTACTGTTTTTCTTTGCATTGATTTTCCAACCTGATTTCTGCATCAAATGCAATCTTCCTAATTCACTCTAGCAAACCCCTAATCATTTATCCTGATCTTATGATTGAATCAAGCAGGAACTGTCAGCTGAATAACATTTATCTCACCATAAGACTATTATCCTACTTGCTCAAACCTTGTAAATTTAGAAGAATTGAACCTTTCCAAGTAATCATTTACATACCCAAAATATTAGAAATATTTTCATTATCTCTGTTAATTGCAAACTAAACTGTTGTATACCAGATTTGCTCACACTCTGGTGTTTAAAAACAATGTTTAGTTGTAATTTTAAAGTCTCTTATTCTTTAGTTTTTATCTAAAAATAAGGGTAAGCTAGATCAAAAACTTCCCAGGTTATTGTAAACCAGTAAACCCACAACAAACATACATATAATTGATTTCAAAGCTAAACACAGTGAAAGACACCATACTCCCCTTAAAACCTTCACTCTCCATCCCCGAGAGTCAAACGAGGATGCGTTGTTAAATGGGTCACTCATGTTCTAGCTTCATCCATTTAATCCATCATTTCATTATAATGTTGTCAGACTCAGATCAGTCCTCTCCTTTTTGTTTTCAACCTGTCAGTGTGAGTCAATGATTGGTACCTCCTTGTCCTGAGGACGAGACATTTGTCCAGATGTCCTTTCCTTTCCATTTCCAGTAGGTTTGTCCTGCTCCACATCATGAAGTTTTTTTCACTACTTGTCCATTTCACTCCAGCACTCCTGTCAGTGACCCTGAAGGTGGATGACACTGACAAGTCTGAACAAATACTCAATCCCCAGTTGATGAGCATAATTTTACTTAATAAACATAATCTCAGGTTATAACATAATAATAATAATTATTATTAATATAACAATCCACCTCATGCATAAAGCATCCTAACTTGCAAGAGGGTTATTGATAAATATAAACTGTGAACAGGGGGGAAATGATAGAAGTGTGAAAGGTCACAGATGTTTTTCACTTATTAATGTCATATGTATATGAACCACATGTGGTGTTAGTGTTTTGTCTGGACAGAGTGGAGCTGCTGAAGGATGGAGACCTTCACCTGAACAACTCCAGGCCCTAAGCTGGAGCCCAGGTCTGACCTCACCTCTGTTTGATAGAAAAATACCTTTTTTATGCTCCTCTTATGCCCCTTTTCCATTAGTACCAGTACGGGCCGACTGGACCCTACTTGGCCCGGTTCTGAGGCTTTTCCATTAGTACCAGTACGGGCCGACTGGACCCTACTTGGCCCGGTTCTGAGGCTTTTCCATTAGTACCGGTACTTAGCACCTGTTACTATTTTCAGTACCCTTGGCTCTGTGGTTCTAACCGGTACAAAGAGGTACAAAAACGTGACGTCAGAAAACTGTCAGTCACTGATTGGTCGGGGGCGGAGTCGAGGGCGGAGTCACTGGATCCTTCAGAAACATTTCGAAACAATAATCCGCCATTTGCAATTTCTCGGACTGGAGCAGCGGCTGGACTTATTTTAAAGATTTTAAAAACAATACTGACAACATCTTGGTCTAATGTTGATGTGCTGGCATTTTTTGTGCTTGGTGGCCGACAACATAATTCAGAGCAAGCTGGATGGAGATCTGCTGGTGTACCCCGATCCTCCCTCCGGAGCCTCGGAGCGCCAGACCGGGCAGGGCGTCATCTCCCCGACTCCAAGTTCAGCTGGTCACCGCGGAAGATCCTTCGATGTGCCGACTCGGAGGCTCGGGTTCCAGATACCAGCCTTGTGTGCTCAGAGCTCCGCAGGTCACTGCGAATCTGGAGATGGGGACTCGCAGATGGCCGTTGCGAGACCCCGGCCGCGTGTAATCATGAAGGCTGAATCCCAATCCCGCCCGGCAGTCAGGCGGACGGTGGAAGCGATTTTTAAATAAAATAATATTTTGTTTTTATACAAAAAATGTTTTAAAAAATTGCTGAAGCGATTTAAAAATGATTATTATTTTTTTACATGTAAAATGTTTTTTAAAATCGCTTCCACCGTTCGTCGCAGACCCGTCTCTGTCCGCCTGTCTGCGCGGGTCGGACCTTCTTGGAACGGCCTCTGTGAGTCACCAGCTGAGCTGGAGCTGGGAGGATGAGCCTCCCAGCCTCTTCCTCTCCAGAGGAGAGGATCAGTGAGACCAGCAGAGTGTTGAAGATTAAAAAAAACAAATAAAAAAACGGTGCCAGCTTCATCATGAAATCCTGTTTTCACTTTAATGACTGTTAACTCAGCTGAAAATCATAAAAAGACACAAAACTATTGGATCTCAGGAATATTTCCCTCAAACATGTTTAAAGAAGAGACGACCTTCAGTTCAACTTTATTTTAACCCACAAATGTACAAATCACAAAACAAGAACTTTAAAGCAAAGCTAAAAATAAAATGTTTATATGTGAACAAGAAAGAAAACCACACATTTAAAATGAAAATTAAAAGTAGACACGAGTGCAAATACATCAAATGATGATGAAAACCTATAAAAATTTAAATCTAGATGTTTTTGTAGAAGCTGGTTCATCAGAGTTTTAATTTATATACATATATATATATATATTTATATATATAAATATATATAGATAAATATATATGTATATATATAAATATATATGTATATAAATATATATGAATATATATAAATATATATGTATATGTAGTGAACTTGACCTGATGTCAAAACTAAGCCTAAGGTCGTCGCTGGGTGGATGTCCAGTCTGTGCCGTTCTGGTTCAATGTGACATGCAATTATGTGGTTTAAGGTGGGCTTATGAAGGGGATTTTACATAAGGCCTTAAACTATATGCACCTGGTGTGTAAGCTATTATGGTTGGGAACAGCTACAACTACCAGTTAAGGGGTGGAACATGCTGAAAAGGGGCAACTACAGGGGTTTATACCTATAGAAAAGGGGCCCAAACTATTTTTCCATTTCTAACTTGGTTTAAGTTAGCTTTACCTGGTAAAATATAGTTTGGTTCAATTGTCTGTTGTCTTTTAGACGAACGACTTGAGATTGGGTGTTTGGTTTCCCCATAAATGTTTTGGAAGTCTATGGCGAGACTCATCAAAAAGAATTAGCTATCCCCCCGAATAGAATTGTTCGAGTAGGTTCGGCTTAAGCGTTGTGAGACCAATGTAGATTATGGTACTTAAGGTAGCAATAATATACATTGACTCCGCAAAGATTGCAATTTAACGAATGAACTGCATGTTGGCATGGTTAAAGGCCTCTTAGTCTCTAACTTAACTACACAACAAAATTCATTCTTACCTCAGAAACAACCAAAACCAATTCAACAACGTTTCAACACCGACAAGAGTAGTGACTAAGCAACTAAAAACATCGTTTCACTGCTTCACCTCACCCTGGTTGTCAGATTCAGTCACGCTGTCCCGTGTGAGTGGCTTCTTTGCAGACCCGCATACGCGAGACATAATCATATCGAGGTGCGCTGCATGGCGATCCAGGTCGACTCGGAGTGACGTGTGGCCCCGGAGCAGGGATGCGAGTATCCCACACAATACGAGGGTTTTCGTCATTAGCAGGGCTATGATTAACGTGTCCGCGCTTGACCACGCATAGGTAATTGGTTGGATCGGGTTCTTAATTGTGGACCTGAGGGACTTGAGAACTCGGTTTATTGGTTCCACGTCGACGACTTGGGTGCCTTCAAAACGGATCCGTCCCAGAGTTTCTTGATCTATGTCTATAGACATGTTCACCAGGTACTCTGAGTCATCCAGAGTCGCGTCCCATTGTTCCGGATCGAGGTGATAGAGCGTCAAATCACCAATGTGTATGGTTGTTCCCTGGGGAACACTGATCCACATTGTTTTGTCCGGTAACGTCTAAGGTCTATTTGCTCCAGGTTGATCGTAGGCTATGATCGCCTTTCTTTGAGGAGCGTTCACTAGCCAACGTGAGCCAATTATTTCCGCTTTTGCAGCTTTAGCCAGGTGTCGAGGCGTTACGGTCGTTGAGCACTTAGAATTTTTCGGAATAGGTGTCAACCCGCATAAGCCCGCGGTTTGATTCCAAACAAACGGCTTACTCGCGCACAGATAATGTATCTCCCGAGTGAGAACACACATCTGAAGGTTTGGAGCTAGATAAACTGAGGGGTTATCGTCGTGGTACGCAACCATCCTTGGTGTGTCAATTTGAACATGGTTTTCACCGTGCCAATTGCCAACATTAACAACGTCCCTGAGTCTGTATATGCCATTTGAGGGAATTATCGGTAGGTTGATAATGAACGCCATTTCAAACGTTTTGTGATTGACGTAGATTGGGATTGCGCTACCGAGAGTGTAAGCCAGGTGAGCCTGTATTTGCGTGACTCTTTCGCGCGTAGCGGAGCTGAGGATGTCGTTCACCATCTGTAGAGAGACTAGATACGGTGGGATCCTACCGGTGGCTAGTGTATCTACCGACGAACTGATATCTCTAAGCATGTCAGCAAAAATCCTATCCATTAGGTGTGCGACAGCGTAATCCACTTCAACCTTAAGGGCTAACTCATTTACCGCATGTACGAGGGCTTTGATTTCTTGGGTGTGAATATTCAGCACTAGAACAGTATCCTTTACGGTTTTAGTCACCTGTGTCAATTGTGTTAGTTGAAGGTCCATTTGCGCTCGGATCTTTGGGACCTCGCTCTCTACTTCATACACGTGTTGTTTTAGGGACGTTATACTGACAGTGTTGTATGCGGACAAACCCAGGCTAAACAGCGATCCGAGTGAGGAAGCAGCGAGTAAAAGCCCGCCGATGTCGCGCTTTTGCCTTCTATGTGTTCCACCCAACTCTTGTTGGGTGTAGGTGAACTTATGTAGTTGCTTCAGGACGTGTTGGATCTCTGCTTTAGCACCCTCTAGGGATACTGTGTACCATGGTTTGTTTAACCACTCATTTTTAATGTTAATGTGTTGTTGGATCACGGTTTGGGGGTCGAAGCGGACAAAGACCTTTCGAGTGTATAGGCGGCAATCTGTCCCGGCTGGTCCCGCAGAGCGATGCCTGAGGTGGGCCCAAGGGTTACGATCTCGGCTTGCCCTTCTTGGGTGGCACCCAAGAGGGTGAAGATTACCAGGAGTGGTACCATCATTGTCCTATGGAAACACAAAGAGATAGGTCTTAGCTTCTTAATTGTCGGGGGTAGGACCCGCAAGTTTAAACTATGGTTAAGTTTATTATCCATTAGTTATCTTCTGCTTGGATGACCCTTATTCCCACGAGGTCAGATTTTGTGAGATCTTTGTCTCCTGAGGAGTTATTGCACGCCGTGTGTGGTTTAACCTGGTTACGATGTACCCATTTAACAGTTGGCTCTTTTTGGCCTTTACTGATTTTTATCTGATAGACAACTGGAGACAGTTTGTCGGTTATCAGATGGGGTCCAGTCCATCTGGGCATCAGTTTACGGGCGAGAGTTCCGGTCCCGGACTCTCTTCTCCCAGTTGTGGGGGCAAACGTGTAGTACCAGACCCTGTCTCCCACTTGGAGTTCCTCGTGAGAGGCCTTTTGGTCGTAGTACGCTTTGCGTCCGTCAGCTGATTTTTCCAGGTTTTTCTGTGCGAAAGCAAAAGTGTTTTTAAGGTGTTTTTCCAAGTCTTTCATGTATTGTTGTGTAGTGTAGGCTGTTGCCATGGCAGCATCGCCTGGTTGGTACAACAGGTGTAGAGGGAGAGTCATTTGTCGACCCGTCATCATCTCGAAAGGAGAGATGCCAGTCGACGTGTGTGGAGTGGCCCTTATGGCCATGAGGACCAGAGGGAGTTTCACGTCCCAGTCCTTGTGGTTTGCGGCTACGTATTTTTTCAGAATACTCACCACAGTCCTGTTTGCTCTCTCAACCTGGCCTGAAGCCTGTGGGTGGTAGCCAATATGGAAGTTGGCTTTGACGCCTAGCGTCTTCCACAGTTCCTTCATTACTTCACCTGTGAAGTGTGTACCTTGGTCCGAGTTCACCCTGAGGGGAAGTCCAAACCTTGAGAATACATGATTCATTAATAACATAGCAGTGGTTTGTGCTGTGTCATTAGGGGCTGGTAGACATTCTACCCATTTGGTAAATGC